ATATATTTACTTATGTACTCTCATGTGCATTTAGCTTCCACCGAGAAAACGCCAAAGTATATAGTTGGTCACACCTGCACTTGGGCTCGACTAATTCAGGATAATTGTAGTCTAACCTCGATCCGTACCTTATTTTTTTTGAAAGCTGTATTCGCTGGTGAAGCGAACAATTTCCTAAGATTAATATCTATTAACAACCTACGTGATATTCTATACATACCTGAATAATGTGAAGTATGGTACTTGTAATCGACTGCGACGTTTTAGTCTGTTCTTCTTAGTGCCTCCCTCACTTCGAGTATACATTAACTGTTGCAAATACATTTTGCTTTTCGGCTCCTTAGCGCCGTCAGCGCCCGGAGGCGGGCCCTCGAGGAATGAAGTAGCCTTAGCCATGGTGAATATATCCGTTTTGTGGTACTAAATAAACAAAGCGGACTTGCGCGAACACCCTGTGTTGAACTTGGATTGGCGCGAACAAGCAAGTGAACCTGTGTTGAACTGGTGGTGCATATATCCAACACCGATAGTATAAGATATATAGAATAAATTGCATATACCTTTTGAAAGAAGTATGCCTTCACCGTGAGGAACAAGATGGCAGAAAGCTATTGACATATTGTGTACACTATAGGGACTATAGTCTATTGACGTCTATAAAGGGAATGCCGATTGCGGGCATAAAGAAATCAATAGACATCATGCATAGCGAGAAAAAAAACTGATTTTGGAGTGAATATGTACTATATTTGGTTATTTTGGCATACTAGGAGTATGATAGAGTAAATAACCCCTTTATAACCCCTTTATATCCTCTTTATGGTATCTTTAGTGAATACTCTCTCCAGAGAGAGAATCTCAAATTCTCAGTGCCGATTCCCGAACAGTGCGAACACTCCCCTTCTAGTAGTAGGAGGGTAGTCTATTTATGCACTATACTCTCTTTATAGAGTATAGTCCAACCGCTATGTTTGTTTTTTTTAACAAAAGATATATATGCTCTGATGCTCCAGAGTATGTACAGTACATACCCAGACCCCAGTCCAAAGCGAAAACCCCTAATCGCGATCGGACTCACTTAATTTCCCTTTTGTTTGTTTTTTTTTTCAAAACAAAAACAAAAACAAAAAAAATAACATAATATGAACTAGAGTCAGTAGTCACTCGTAGTGAGTCAGTCACTAAATGCTAACTGCATCTGTCCTGGTAAACGACATGTTTTTGTGTGTTTTTATTATATATATTTCCTAAATCAAATACATACAGATTTGGTCTTGTGTCTGATTTATTAGAAAAAGAGGCTACATATGGTCTGATTTGTGACAATATATTTTTTCACTTTTGAATTTGGAGTCTTTTCCAATAACATTTTTGTTTTGTTTTTAAAACAAAAACTAGAAACTGAAACAAAAATTTTAAAAAATGGGCCTAAAAGCCTCGTGCCAACCACATTCCTCACCCTTGGTTTTTTCAGATGTTTATCTCTAATACCACTTTGTCGTTTACCAGGCCAACACTTCATGTGGAAAGTCTGCTGTGCCTGTGCATTGTGATATGTAGTATTTATATTGCATAATCACTGATCAGCGATGCAGTCACTTTGCCGGTTACCTCCAGTATTAGCCTTATACTGTATAGTCGCATGTATAACGGTATATTGTAATACTGTTGCAGTTTTGAGTGAAGGTGCTCCTCGTTTCTTCATCGAGATGTCGGAGAAGTTTGAAATTCCCCGACCTGAAAATTTTTTTTTAAACATGCAAACCTATACAAATAGTCGGTGTTGTCATACTGTCATACACAACAGCACACGGTACAGTGTGTATATAAAATACCTAAAGCACGCCTCGCGAAGTTACATATCGTCATTGCAGATGGGCACCGCGGTACCAGAGAGCAAACCGGCCATTGTCACAGTCTCAGCGTTGGTTAGAGTGCCATTCGAGTCCGAAGTGGTCTATTTACTGCTCTACTTCTCTCTACTGAGTAAGATATCACTTCTCGCTTCATTCAGCACGGATATTACAGAGATCCAAGGGCGCCGACTAAAAAACCCCCATTGTCTAGAGTATTGACCCATCAGAGGTCAATTTGTAGTAGTGCGACTGAGTATCATCGTATACAGTAAAATAAAATGACCTCCCCGACTCCCTCTTATCTTCTCTGTGATATGTGTCCTGTATTTTAATTAAGGTTCCCGGTGACATTCAGCGTCCTTGTATTCTTAATATAGTCGCTCTGACTTGCCGTGCTCTACCTTAGAATACCTCCAGATATATCATGTTTCTAAGGGTGTGTACATTCCTCCCATTATCGAGTTGTGTAGAAGTTCAACAACAGTTGCGATTTCGAGTTGTCATTACATCGATAAAAAAAGCGTTTGACAATCTAATTTTGTGCATGACAAATCTGCACGTGTACATAAAAAATCAGCAGCAATTCAATTTAGAATCACACTGAGACCCCGGTACCATCGGATATTTATGCTTTGTTGATGCCAAATCCCTGAGGATCCCTGTTAACATTAACTAAAGATGAGAGGGGTTCTTTTTGGTAAATTTAAACGTATTTTCATTTTACGGGGTGATACAATACCATATAAAATTGGAGTATTTGAATTGTTCCCAGCATGCGTCGTGTTTATTTGTACTTGATAGTGCCGCTATTGTCGGATGCTTTTGCTCAGCCGTTCGTATAATTGATCGTTCAAGCCTCTGGCTCTTTCCAGGTCAGCCTTCGCCGCTAATAAGTCTTGCTCACATGCATGTAGTCTGTCTCGCTGCGATTCTTCGACGATCGCACAAGTCCGCTCCTCAATTTCTTCACGTATAAGCGCGCCATCGATAGCTATATCTGAACTCGGCTGTTGTTCGGTGTGAATGATTACAGTGAGTGGCGATGTGTACGATACTAATGTTGGGCACCCTACCGGTACCATGTACAGGTTGTAGATTTTCGGCGAGTGAACAAAATAAAGCGCTCTGAATTAGTGCCGCAAGATTCTGTACCAAATATAGATCACCGGGTTGGAAGGCACCTACAGATATACACAACTTAAACAAAAATTTAAGCGTGGCAAGGTGGACATTTTTAACGGAACAATCATATACATCACCAAAAAGCAAACACATGATGTCGGCTTTCCTATAAAGTCTGCTGCTGACAAATACAATGGACGTACCGGTTGTGGTGGGCAGGTTGCCGTTGTAATCAATTGGACACCGTCTAGCACAGGTCCCTGGCTAAGATATCGATCTAGTGGAGGTACGTCGTTCTGTACTATTGTGTTATTGAATACGGACCTTGGCCTTAAAATCAATGAAAGATTTGTGATTGGACCTGTATTTGGAGACATTTATGATAATCAGCACGACATAGAAAGGAAGGTAAATAATTTTTAGTGTGTTCTTCCTGTTTGCACACGCCAAATGTGAAATGTGAAATGTTCATCCACCTCCCCTCCTGCAAGAGATTGAAAAAGTATTTTGAGGCGAGTCGGCAGGGAGATATCAGGCAACGTGCACAAAAAAAACTACCTTCATGTAACCGGAATGTCCTGAGCTTTTCTGAGCTGGTCAAGTCCCAGACCACGACTGTTCCGTCTAATGAACCAGAGACCAAAAGATTGCAGTCATGTGACAGCTCGAGACTGGTCACCTCAGCTGTGTGACTGAGGAAAGTTTGTCGACTACTCGCGGTGTCTATAGAGCTCCCCTTTGATTCGCTGATATTCAATTGGAACATTTCTGCCTATTTAATGGATGGTATGGATAAGATAAATTTTGATAATAGTTTGAAATGACAGGAGAGCCGCAAACATGCCATGCGAAAGCATGCGTATCGCAAAGGTGCAACATACCTGCGAGCAAGCGGCCAGTGTGCACGATTTGGGTCAACTTGTCCACAACTACGGGTGACAGTTTAAAGCTACGTAAACCATCTAAAACACACCAAGCTATAGTGGCAAAACATCAATCTAGTGCTTTGACTACAAAGAACTACGAAGTCTATTCCACAGCATGCAGAAGTACATAGTATGCAGATCATACGTGCAGCCGAATCTGCACACGTGTAGTGATATCGAATGAACGTAGTGATACGTTCACACCTCACTCCCCTTCCATCAACATACAAACCCATCCCTCGACCATAACGACGCACAAAGGCTTGATAGCAAACCCCATACCTTGTATATGTAGCCATCACTGGCTCCAACACACATGATAAACTCTGCGGGATCCATGGCACAACTCGTTAATCCAGCCGGGAACACGAGCGTGCACAACACCTTCCCTGACGCCATGTCCCATAACTTTGCCGTTCTGTCTAATGACACTGTCAGAACGCGGCAACTGCTGGACGTGCCCGAACCAATGTGTATAGCGGTGACAGGCAGGGAGTGGCTCGACCAGGTGTATGTGGGCTTGGGTGCACCAGCGGTAGGGTCCAATAAGCTGTACCAAAGATATTAAATAAGATTGTTCTACATACACGAATTTTGGGTTGAGAATATACGGCATACAACCAAATTGCTGAATTAAAGTGGATAAATTGTCTTTCAGGCATAGGGAGTCGTGTGATCGACCCACCCGACAAGACGTAAACGGCATGTGAATAAACACAATGTGCATGGAGATGGCGTACCTAACAACACTCCACACTTGGACCACACCATCTCCTCCAGCGGATACGAGAGTCATGCCATCTGCTGTGAACTTCAGCACCGTGACAGCTTTGAAGTGCGCTGTAAGGAACCTCAGCAGTCGACCGGATGACGCCTAGGAAAAAATGAGTATGAAAAAACTTGAGTTACTTTGAATACACTATAGGCACAGAATAAAACATGCCTGCCGTAATGATATGTATGGCGTGCGATGTAAAGTGAAAAGTCTCGCGGTATGAATGAACCACATATGACGAGTCTACAGCTGTACACTACTTCAATGAATCATTAAAATTCCACAATGGTACAACACTCACCTGTTAGTCCGGTTATCGAAGAGAATACGTACCACATCCACATACACGTATACTATAT